GGAAAACAATGGCGTTCTCGTCCTGTCTCAAATTCTATCCATTTTCCATATCCCAAGCCGTAACCTTAACACACCCATCCTTCTCTCTCAAGCTCACTCCTCCTTCCTCCTCAATCACCTTCGCTTCACCTAACTCCGCCGCTATCTCCTCGCCGGACGTCAAGCTTCTCGATTCCCTCCGTAGCCAGCCCGAAGATTCCGCCGCCCTCCGACTCTTCAATTTGGCCTCCAAGCAACCGAATTTCTCCCCTGATTCCGCTCTCTACGAGGAGATCATCCTCCGTCTAGGCCGGTCCGGTTCGTTCGATGACATGAGGAAGATTCTAGAGGACATGAAGAACTCAGGCTGCGAAATGGGTACTTCTCCTTTCTTGATTTTAATCGACAGTTATGCTCGTTTCGACTCGCACGATGAGATTATTGCTGCTGTTCATTGGATGATTGACGGATTCGGGTTAAAACCCGATACTCATTTCTATAACCGGATGCTGAATCTTCTCGTTGATGGGAATAATCTGAAATTAGTGGAGATGGCTCACGCGGAGATGAGTGTTTGGGGGATTAAACCAGATGTTTCGACTTTTAATGTTTTGATAAAAGCTTTGTGTAGAGCTCATCAGCTTAGACCTGCGATTTTGATGATGGAAGATATGACGAATTACGGTCTGGTTCCCGATGAGAAGACGTTTACTACGATTATGCAAGGTTATATCGAAGAAGGTGACTTAGATGGAGCTTTGAGAATTAGGGAACAGATGGTTGAGTTTGGGTGTTCTTGGTCTAATGTGAGTGTTAATGTTATTGTTCATGGTTTCTGTAAGGAAGGGAGAGTCGAAGATGCGCTTAATTTTATCCAGGAGATGTCGAATCAAGGCGGGTTTTTCCCTGATCAGTATACGTTTAACACGTTAGTTAACGGTTTGTGTAAAGCAGGGCATGTGAAGCATGCTATTGAGATTATGGATGTAATGCTTCAAGAAGGGTATGATCCTGATGTGTATACTTACAACTCGGTGATCTCGGGTTTGTGTAAACTTGGAGAGGTGAAAGAAGCAGTGGAGGTTCTTGATCAAATGATCACTAGAGATTGTTCTCCAAATACGGTTACTTACAACACTTTGATCAGCACATTATGCAAGGAGAATCAGATCGAGGAAGCCACGGAGCTTGCCCGTGTTCTCACCAGCAAAGGGATTCTTCCGGATGTTTGTACATTTAACTCTCTCATCCAAGGGTTGTGTTTGACTAGGAATCACCGGGTCGCGATGGAGCTGTTCGAAGAGATGAGGATCAAAGGATGTGAGCCCGACGAGTTCACATACAACATGCTGATTGATAGCTTATGTTCTAAAGGGAAGCTAAATGAAGCTCTAAACATGCTTAAAAAGATGGAATCGAGTGGTTGTGCAAGGAGTGTGATAACGTACAACACTTTGATTGACGGGTTTTGCAAAGCCAACAAGATTAGAGAAGCCGAGGAGATATTCGATGAGATGGAAGTACATGGGGTTTCTAGGAACTCCGTGACATACAACACACTCATCGATGGGCTTTGTAAAAGCAGGCGAGTAGAAGACGCGGCTCAGCTCATGGATCAAATGATAATGGAAGGACAGAAACCGGATAAGTTCACATACAATTCACTTCTAACGCATTTCTGTAGAGGAGGTGACATAAAGAAAGCTGCGGATATAGTGCAAGCTATGACTTCTAACGGGTGCGAACCAGACATTGTGACCTATGGAACCTTGATAAGTGGTTTGTGTAAAGCTGGTAGAGTTGAAGTTGCAAGTAAGCTTTTGAGGTCTATTCAGATGAAAGGGATTGTTTTGACACCGCACGCATATAACCCGGTGATTCAAGGGTTTTTTAGAAAGAGGAAAACAACAGAAGCGATAAATTTGTTTAGAGAAATGCTTGAAAAGAGTGAATCAGGACCAGATGCAGTCTCTTACAGAATTGTTTTCCGTGGGCTATGTAATGGAGGCGGACCAATCCGTGAAGCAGTGGACTTTCTTGTTGAGCTGTTGGAGAAAGGCTTTGTGCCCGAGTTTTCTTCGTTGTACATGTTGGCTGAAGGTCTTCTCTCTTTGTCAATGGAGGAGACACTGGTCAAGTTAGTGAACATGGTTATGCAGAAAGCGAAATTCTCGGAGGAAGAAGTTTCAATGGTGAAAGGTTTGCTTAAAATCAGGAAATTTCAGGACGCTTTGGCCACTCTTGGTGGTGTCCTGGACAGTCGCCAGCCGAAGAGAACTTACCGGTCAAGATGATCACTCCAAACAAATTCGTACTTTCAAATTTGTAAACGATGTTATGAATATGATTTTCTGTAAAATTTTGGAGTAATTCATCAGTTAGCTGGCGGGTTCCGGGTTAACCCGGCCAGATCCTGTGGTTCTACAGACCAGTCCTGATGTTTAGGTATATAGTTGTGGTTTGGTATTTGTAAGACAGTCCACTATATTCTCAATAACTATCTTGGTCGTATTTTTTAACCACAAGTGTTATGCCTCAATAACCATATTGTTGATTGAGTGGGATACAAAGAAAATAGCATCTGCAATTTCCACATATTCTCCACTAAAACTTTGTGGATCTTTTCTCATATTAAGTGCATATTTGCTAAATCAAGCATATTAGTACACTTACGTATCAGTAGAGGACAGTTTCGTGGATAAATTAGTACTTCCACATCCACAAAGGATATACATATGGATCGAAACAAACATTCGAAACAAACGTCAAAACAGCAATTTTCTTACTTTTGTCCGTTATTCTTGCTAGCATTAAACTAACGTTTACACTACGAACAAGAAGACTAATTTTCTGGGTAAAAAGAATGTTTAGTAGTGATTACAGTAGAATATAATGTGAAAGACTGAAAAAATCTTTAGCAAACAGTCGGCTATGGATCTTATACAAATACGTTACTCCTTACCAAAAAAAAAAAATGTTATCAAGAAACTGCCAACTTATGCAGAAACACAGACCTGTGGTAATCCATGAAAATGGTTTCAAAGATAGATTACCAATTTCCATCTTATATTCAGACCACGACGGTCCCAGCCTTAATTAATTATACACTTCTCCTCACCAGCATTCCGAATCACCTATCCAAACAAAAAAGATGAATATAACATTATTGCGATATGATAAAAGCTCAAACTACATGAGCTAAACGCTTGCTTACCCATTAGAGAAAACCTCCACCGGTCCAAGCGGTGTCTGATTTCCCGTTGTGACCAACAGATTTCTTATCGCCTGCACTTTGGTAATAATCATTGAACCCATCATCTTTGGCATCATGATCATCCCAACCGGTCCAGCCATCATCATCATTAGAAGCTGATGGCCCCTTCGGAGCTGCTGCTTCCTTCTTATTCTCATTTCCCCAATCGTCCCAAGAATTTGACTTCTGAGAATTGTTGTAGTGACCACTTGATGATGACTGCGAACCTCCTCCTCCTCCGACAGATGAATTCGCTGTTTTATTACCATTCCCAAAGTTCTGGTAGTAACCATTGCTCTCATTTTCACTCTGTTGATTCCAGCTTGTTGTTCCTTCTTTAGTGTACTCTTCGACCTTCTGTGTCGCAATTGCCATTACTCCTTTCATGATTCCCCATGTCCTTTGTCCTATCTCTGTTGTCTTATTCGCTACTACATTAACAGTTTCACTCACCTTGTGATCATATCCACCTTCCTTCACCTGCAATAAAATGGTTTCTTATTTTGATGACTTCACCTTTCCAAAACCCTATTGTCATTACTATTATGGCAAGAAGAAACGTTAGAGAGCATCCGGAATTATACTCTGCACAGAGTTACAAAGAATCTCACTCTACAGGATGCTAAATCCACAACATAACAATGACGAAAATGGGATAAACGGCGATGACATGAGACATTAGCAAAGAAGCAACTAGACATTTCACAACATCTATGTAAATCAAGCAGATAAGGAGACTATATAGATAGTCACCAAGAACTCCATGTTGACACAAATCAAATGTGACTTTCAAAGGTTATGGATTGCAACTTAGGAACTCAAGGAGAATGAAAAAAGTACCTTGGATGTGAAATCTTTGGTTCCTGTCTGAACAACACTTGCAGCTGACTGAGCTGCAGATGCGGCAACAAGAGACAATCTTCCCAAACCCTACAATATTTCAGAACGAACCATCAAAGTGAAATCGAAATCCACCCAATACGT